ACAGAGGAAGATGTTGGAGACTATTATTGTGAAATATCTAATAATTGTGACCGGATCAAGTCAGACATTGCCAAGGTTACATTGAAGGAGGAAGAGGAGGAGGAGGAGAAAGATGGAGAAGCATTCGAGTGTTAAATGGCTGATCTTTTTGCACTTTTTTAAAAATTCAACACTCAACAGTCAATTTTTGTTTTATAAGTCCACACTTTCATTCATTGTTTTCATTCATCATGCACATCACTGTAGAACTTTACTGAAACTCTCAACACATTATTATTATTATGATTGTACTTTTTGCGTACACTCAATTAACAAGCAATCTTTTCAGTTTCATCATTATTAATTGTTTTTAACATCATGCATTTAAAATTTCAACTAAAATTCTAGCACATATTGTTGCAGCATTATAAATACATAACAGGATTAAACAAAAGGACAAAATTTAGCTGCTACTCCTTCTATTGCTTCAAGTGGAGAGGAGGGGAGCAAGGTTTATGTTCCGTTGCAACCATTTCTAATAGCAATCCTGTCTTTTCAGTTGAGCAGAAAAATTAAAAATAACTGTTATTTTGTTGTTCTTCTTCTTGTGTTATTACTATTATTATTATCATGTTTTTAAAAAAAATTTATCAATACCATCATTATAATTTTTTGTTTGTATCTTTGATAAGAAATTAATATAAAAAAATTACTTAATCATGGCAGTGCACTGTTCAAAAAAATATTGGGCTTTTGACTTGGAGGAGTCATTTTATTATGTAAATAGGGCTGATGCTAACACTTTTATTTAGTCTTCTTTTTAAGGATTATGAATATCAAGAAAAACGCAACTGATTTTTAATGATTGTAGCAGCTAATTCTAAATTAAAAACCAAAAAAGTATAAAACTAACTAACACTCATCAAATTCTAATAACAAAAACAAAAACCAAAAGTATAAAACTAACACGCATAAAAACACCATTGTTCATTGTTATTTCTTTTTATTCCTTTTGTCTCTTGACAAAAATATGTAAAGTAGTGCTTTCAATGTCCAGATACTTTTCTAGTTCATCATAAGCAGTTTCAATATCATCAACATAAACTGAGAACTCAATCAACGGAATTATTCTGGACTGGAGCTTACGAAAATCTTGTTGCAACTCAACAGAATCAATTTCAGCTTTTGTTATCTATAATAATAATGCAGTATAGCTAGAAATTTCTGTGGCCCAAAATTTTTTTTGCGAATTTGAAGAAAATTGCAAAAATTAAATCCTCAAAAAATAGGTAAATTAAAAGATGTGGCAAACCAAACCTTTTCTCAGTGTAATTATAGTGAAGCACATGGCATGTTCCTGGTATTTTAAGCAGAGTCAAAGAGTAATCCTATCTTGCCTAATATCCTGATAGAGCTTTGTGTCATCATCAGCTATAGTTCTGGTAAGTAGTGAAGAGCAGCCATTGATCAGTAGTGTGATCAAGTGAATTCGCAAAAATAAAATCCGCAAAAGCCATTTTTTGGCAATTTGCAGAAATTTTGGGCTACAGAAATTTCTAGCTATATGGTAATAATAATAATAATAATAATAATAATGTTTTTATTGTACATGTAGCTGATTTTTTTGTTTCTTTTTTCTTTCTATGTACAGGGTCTTCCCTTTTTGTCCCCCTTTTGTCTGTTTTGTGTCTTTCTTATAATAATAATAATAATAATAATAATAATAATAATAATGATAATAATAATATAATAATAATAATTTAAAATTATACCTTATCAGGTATGAGAGAGATGGGGGATATCTTCCATCCTTTGATTTCCATAGGATTTTTACACTTACAAAGTCCCATTGATAATTCTTGGCCATCATTCCTGACTGTAAACAAAAACGAGTGTGACTCAATGGTGCCAATTGACTCAGTTTGTGCATACTATAAATAAAAATAATATCATGTACATGTAAAACAATATACACCTTCAAATGTGCCTTTAGGTGTTTAGTGAATAGTATACTCATAGTCCAGCAGTTCTTATATTCTTTGACATAAGAACATTGACCAGCATACTTGACTGATGTATCCCTCCTATAATGATAATAATAATAATAATACTAACTGTAATATAAAATTAATTATAACTAACATAGATCCTTTATACAAGACACAAATAAGGCAACTGTTACTGATCTTTAACGAAGCATACGTCTCTCCTATAGGAAAAGTCCCTCCATCAATGCAATTGAATGCAAAGACTTTCTTTTCTAAATCAACGGTAGCAGTTGCAAAGCACATTTTGCCGGGAGTGATATCATCATTTAGATCAACACAATGCTCTAGCTTGATGGTGGTATAAAAATCTGGAGGTAGCTCCTCTGGTAGTGCAATATCATATATAGCACTGACAATAGTGCAGCCATCAGGTAAAGTAAAAGGACCACAGAATATAGTGCGAACGTTAATGGTCAACTGCTCTTCAGTGAGAGCTGGTACAGTCAACTCATATCCTAAGTCAGCAATTTCAATTGTGGATTCAAGTCCTCCTTCTATTGAATGCTGTTGTAACTCAATAGTGATACAAGTACCTAATAATAAATTTAACTATAAACA